CCCCCCCCCCCCCCCCCCCCCTCCAAACTCCGGCGGGCATTCTCCTGAACCTACAGGCGGCAACGGGGTTCTGCACCCGTACGCTTAAGGGCGATTCGGAGTGGGTTCGGAGAGTAGCGTTGAGTGACGACGGCGAGATGCTTGCCAGCTGTGGGAACGACCATTCCGTCAAGGTCAGCAAGACTTCATTTTCTCGGTGTCGCGCGTTGGTATTTTCTTAGTTCCAGGCGTGTGCGGGGCAAGCCAGGTACCTGTTATCGTGAAGCACATACGAGACAATACTGCCACCCACATCTTATCTTGTGTTAGTTGCGTAAAACCTCTCCCTGTACCGATAAACCCACAAGCGCTTCTTCGATGTACAAGACAGAAGCACATGACCCTTACCCATACACTTTACTCTGCCTATCCCCCCCCCCGTTCCTCCCGCTAAGGTATGGAGTGTGCACAGTGGGCAGTGCTTGCATGACTTGCGAGAACACACCCACGTGGTGGAGAGCGTAGCCTTTGCCCCGGAGAGCGCCGAGCGAACCTTGGCGACGGCGGTGGGGTCGGCAGGGGGGGGGGCGCAAGCGGGGGGGGCGGCCAATAAGCCCCGCGCGAACGGCGCGGGGGGGGGGGGGGGGGGNGGGGTGGAGGGGGGGCAGGGGCTGTGCGGAGGCGGTTTGTGGCGTCCGGGTCGAGAGACAAGACCGTCAAGTTGTGGAACGCTTCCGTGGGACATTGTCTCATGACTTTCGTGAGTGTCAACTTTTCCCTCTCGTTGCGTCGTGCGATGCCCTCTCGTGCGATGCCCTCTTGCTCTGCCTTGCCTTCCCGTCCAGGGTTGGACTTGTTTCGCGCACTGTGCGGTTATCGTTATGCGAGGCTAGAGCATGTTCTTGTCGGTGTGCCGGGGGCATGGGCCACTTTTGCGGGTACTTCGGGGATGCTGATCGCTTTCCGCCAAAGAAGGCCGTGTTCTGTGCTGTCAACGTCAGCTGCTGCTGGTGTCCACTCTCCCAGCTCTCTCTTGGCGGTGTGGCCCTCTTTCGTGATGATCGTGCTCTATCTTTTGCTGCCAAGAGACCGTAGTTTGTTCCCGTGCTTTGCCTCAATCTCGTTCGTCGTACACTTTCCTCCCCCCTATTATCGTCTTGTGGAATGGCGTTCTTTTCGCGCAGCGCACTTGTACTCGTAGCACCCCACCCACTTGTGCCGCTTTCTAGAGTGGCCCTTTGAGAGAGCTCTGCCGGAGCCTCGGGTGGCCTTTCAGAGCTCGGCTTCCCGAGTAACGTTTTGTTCTACAAATCCCACGCGCTGTGTACCCACTGCCGTGTGTGACACTCTCGCAAGGCTGCTGTTATGGGACGTTGCGCCTGATGGCTGTTGGTGACCGCCTCCACCCCAGCTTCCCGTGCCTTGCCGGCCGAAACAGCCCTGTGTTTCATCTCACAACATCTCGCCCGGTGTTGTAGGGGCTGCGGGTGTCGTGCGTGATTTGTCTCTGGCTCCCCTGACCTTCTTGACGATTGACTTCTCGCATGTGTTGGCCTCACTGGTCTCGACCGTGTCTTGTCCCGTTTGGTTAACCGTCCGCGAAACCACAAGCCTTGACATTTACTCCCTTCTTTCATGCTCTTATTCTTCCCTACTTTCTTGCGCTCTCCTGGCTTGTTTCCATATTCTCTGCGCCGTCGACCGGGATGGAATGGGCCGTAAATTATGTATGTAGAGCGTTCACGAGAACTGGGTGAGGTGCGTATTGGTGCACCCCAGCGGAGCGTTTGTCCTCAGCGCATCCGACGACAGATCTGTGAGGGCGTTCGACGTGAAGGTGAACAGAGCTTTTCCCTTTTTTTATTTTCTTCGAACGTGTTGTCGTGCGCGACTCGCGTCTCCCCAGTTGCGTTGAGGGTATTGTCGCCAGACCGTTTGTGGCGTGGCGTCGAAAATCGAATTCGGACGTCGAAAGACGCTGATTGGACAACTCGCCAGGCC